CTAGAATGCTCCAGCGATTAACCGAAGCAGTAATTTCAGAAGTAGCTTCCTTTTGTTTCCAAGGAGAAGAATCACTGGATCCGCTAGGCTGCTCTTCACCACCCCAAACATCTTCACCAACAGCCTTTTTCCATGCATTATTTCCCTTCATTGCTGAATTCACTCCATCCTTAGGGGTACTCCATGCGTTAGCTGCTGCACCATTGTTCTGAAGAATCACGACGACACTATGATAAGCAGACGCATGATCCAACCTCCTAAGGGCGGTTGCTGCACGAGCAGGATCATTGAAAACTGCCAAAGCATTCTTATCATTCAACCATATCAGCTCACACTCCCCGCCAAATCTAAGCACCAAAGAGCTTATGTCCGACTCCCTAGGCAAATCAAGGAAAGAAACAACGAGCCTGGGATCCATGTCAACAAGGGCGTCAAAAGCAAGTGGGTGCAGACATGTGGCAGCAGTCACCCCTTTGACACAAATCACACGTTGTGGTGGTCTGGACTTGGGAATTGCATGAAGAACAACAAATCGCTTGGGTTCCCACCCAGCAGCATGGATTGCTAGCTTCCACCTCTCCGCAATCAGCCTAATTGCATCTCTCTTGTCCTTCAGCATCGGGCAGAAGACATGAACCTTGAGACCACCGCCCACAGTTACCCCCCTGTGCTTACCAAGGACAAGGCACTTGCACCTCTCTTCGACAGCAAGAACCCATTTTGGATCACGCCTATATAAATCCAAAAGCAACTCAGTAACAGCCGAGTTTTCGCCAAAATGAAGAGCATCCAAGTTGGGGGTATTAATGTCAAAAGCATCAGCAAGAACCTTCTTACGTTCTGACTTAGCACATTCTTCATCACAAGTAAGCTTCCTTTGGCTAAGTGGAATCTTCTTACTACCAGTTGCTGATTCCACTTGCTGAAGTGGTGCTGATAGCTTCTGGGCTATTGAAGCTTCAAAAACTGTATCAGCACTGAAACCACCACTTGTCCCTCCGGCATCACAAGGAACACTGGCTGTTATCCTGCCACATGAGCAAGTAATTGTGACTGGAAACTCACATCTGACATCGGGGCAAGGAACAGCAGGATGACAAAGTGCAGCACAAGTATGCCTACAGTCCCTTCTGGGGGCCCCACATATCTGGCGACAAGAAGCTCTCCCTGCCTCTACTTCAGAGGAAGGTGAAGAGTCGCACGGTGCTGGATGACAAGTCCGCCCGCATGCATGAAGACCACACTGCCTAGTTTTACCACAGAGCTTGTTGCACCTTATATTTTTCGAACCACAAGGTATATTTTTGAGAAACACATGTCCGCCAACACACTCCTTTGCAATAGGGACAGAACAAGGCGGACAGTCTCCATGGTGGCAGTTATGAGAAGCCGCATGACCACAAGGCCGAGGAACCGAACAGGGGAGTTGACATGATGGTAGCGTTGTACCACAGGGCAAGGGGGGAGGGATTGAAGTCCTTCCACATGCACAGCTCAGATCAACAAAGATTGTCTCAAGACAAGGAGGGCAATGACCACTGTGACATAGTGACTCACAAGAATGCAGGCCACACCTCAACTTCTTGCCACAGGCCATTTGGCATAAGTGTGGATTCCAATCCTCAGAGAAAGAAGCAGTTGAGTTGTTAGAAAGAGGGCAGCAACGTTCGCTACACCGATGTCTCCCACAATTCTTCTTTCGTCCGCAAGGCTTGTCACACTTGAACTGTTCATTGATATCACATGTTTTGTAGCAGGCCACAGTTCTCGAGGAAGATCCACAACAACAATTTTGGGTGACATCAACCATACAAGGAGGGCAATCTCCAGAATGGCACAGGTCCCTACAGTTGTGAACCCCACAGGAAAGTAGCTTGCCACACACCTGCATACAGTTAGGGATTCGGTCCAAGCAACACTTCCTTTCCTCCACCAAGCTCGTCTTCCCACAATAACAAGATTTGACCCTTCCTGGCATCAAATCACAATCTCCACAAGGACCTGGATGACATACTTCAGTACATTCATGGTTAGTACAAGCAAGCATCTTCTCACACATGAAATTGCATGAAAAGACACCTCCTTCGACATTCACCTCTCCCTTCACAGACATGTCTCCGCATAATATATCCTCCTCTTTTTTCTTGCAAAAACATGAAGCTGTAACCGGAACTTTGCACGGATCACAAGGACCAAGATGACAAATCCGTTCACAACGATGACGCTGACAATCGAGAAGCTTATCACATCGCTGACCACACGTGAGAACAGATTGACGTTCAGAGCACCTAGTGGTGATGGTGCTCTTCCCACAAGGGCACAAGCGTTGTGGAGCAAATGATTTGCAAGGTGGGCATGGACCTGGATGGCACTGCAACACACAGACATGAGGGCAAGAATTCTTATTATTACTCTCTAAGTTGGTGCCTGGCAAATGCTTCTCGAGGGGCTTCCCACATGGCTCACCACATGAATGAGGAGTCAAGTACAAATCAGAGGGTGGATCTGTTCTTTTCCCGCAAAAGCAAACATAACGAATCTCTTTCATTGGTGTCAGCTGCACGTACTGGCAGCCCGGGCAGCGCCAGTTAAAACCCTGGTTTTTATCGGCAGACAAGTCGACGGAAGTAGGAGCCCTAGCCCATCTCTTGATACAATTGAGATGAAAAATGGAGTAACAGCTGGAACAAGACCAAATAGGAGCAGACCTTCGCACCATATCATAACAAATCATACACTCAACAGTGCTCTTTGCAAGTTTCTCCTGAATTTCTTGCACCAGTTGCGGCATATTTGCATACTTCAACTCTTTCAAAGTTTGTGGCTGACCCTTCTCCCTTTCCTTATCCCTCCTGTGGTTTGTGGGGCGACCCACATGATTCCGAGAAGAATTACTGATGCCTCGGGGTCTGGGTTCAGAAGCAACATAATTACTGGTGCCACTTTGTCTTGGATCCAAAACAGCTGGATTACTGGTGCCTCTGTGTCTTGGTTTAGGGACAGCTGAATGACTGGTGCCTTCATCGATATTGGAAATGAAAGTTGGAGGAGGTAGATTTACAGAAACTGTGGAGGGGCCTTGTCCTCTGGGAACCCAAGTCTGGCGCACAGTTTGAGAGGGTAATCTAGATCTGTCCCTTCTATCGCTTCTGGTTTGGGAGCTCATATCTGGCTCTGAGCTGACTTCCAACAAGCAATCAGACAGCACCAGGACTTCAAAAGAAACCGACGACACTGGAACCTACACATAAATGATTGCAACCATCAGTCACCTTTGATTTGATGCAACGAATGATCAAAATCAAAACTATCACCGAGTATAACATTATCAGAATACCACCCAAAGTAATGGATAAAATGGGGACGTCGTACAGCTGAGTAACCTCCAAAATGGGGGCAGATAGGCTACGTAAACATTCTGTGTACCCCCTCTCAAAAATAAAAACAGATTCCAGAAGTAAACACAGGCTGTATACATTCTCCACTAAACTAAATATAAGAGACCAATAATGCAAGTTACGAGCTCTAGGTGGATTTACGAACACCTCCGATTCAATTATACTAATATCAGACAGCCTACTACCGACAATCGTAAATTGAATAACACACGATATTGAAATCAAGAAACCGAAGAGCGAGATCATAAAGCACTAATGATAGTAACCATCGCAAATTCATAGAAACCAAGCATAACCAAGGCACTATGAGAGTTGGAAATTACGCCTACTCTCTTTCTCCTGTACTCCAGAAACTCCGAGTTCGTTTACCAGGGAAAAGAAAACCTACGATATAAAAACAATATACTTATGAACAAAAGCAATTCGTTAATCCTAAACCTAAATTCCTCTAAACACAAAACGAAAGCAGGATCAACTCGTTACTCCACAAGATGCTCTTCGGAAACAACCGAAGAAAGGGATTTAGAAAGCTAGCAAACAAGCAACCCACCTGACCGTGACCGGAAATTACCGAAGCGCAAGAGGCAAGGATCTCGGCCGTTAACGAGTATCTCAATTCGGCTAATGTCAAATTCGACCGACTGCGAGTCGGATAAATGCCGACGGAAACCGCCCAATGCGACGATAGAGGGAAACCGAGGAGAGCTCGCCGAGGTCAAGAAGGGGAAACGAGAGGGAAACAGCGGAGCTCTTCGCGTGTACCGACTACGCGAAATATGAGCGATTAGTTCTTCTTGTGGATTGTCAGAAAACGCATTTCGGTTTTAATCATTTTCGTTTAGTTAATTTAATAATTATTTCATGAAAGTGTCATCAACCGGCGAGTTGATCCGACCCGGTCGACCCAATAGGTCAACTATTTTAGTTCGGTTTGGCCCGAAAATATGGAAAAAGTTATTATATTGTACTTATCCTGATAAGTTATATTAAATTTTATATAACATATGAGTTATAATATTACACCAAAATAACATGTCGTACTTAGATCCAACATATAGTGAAAATTCACACAAACTTATTTAACATCAATATTCAAATGTTCAACTTAGGATTCCAAAAATTGAGTTAGGCGAATAGAAAAATCGGAAAATAGGCGAATTTCGCAAACAAAATAAAAAAATGACACAATTTGACCTCCAACAAGGTACCTTGTAGCGGTCGACCCGACGGGTGCGTGCGGCCCGTTTTTCTCACCGGGCCATGGTCAAAGTGGATCAACCCGCGGTTGACAACCTTGGTCATTTCGCTTGATAAGCCGAACGGGACAACAACGGTTTTACACTTTATATTTGTGCCTTTAGCACGCACCGGCACAGCAAGTATGAGCGAGGGAGGGGTTTTCGGTTCTGCGGCCTCAGGGTGGACCATGTATATTTATAGTTTATTAGTGGGTGAATAGTATTTTGTACCCCAAACTTTAGTAAATTAACAAACATACCTCCCGATTAGGTCAAATTCAAGTGGATATCCACGATTCCGGTTATTTTTGTCACGGAAATCAGTCATGTCCAAACCCATCGCAAGAGGAACACTTTACTGAAAGGTGAGGGTAGTAGCAAGAGATTCAACTACTTTCTATAGGTGGCCTGAAAACACACAAAAACTTCCAGTTCGGGATCCAAAATCATCTTCTCCTTATGTTATCAACAACCTCCAAATGTGGAGCCGCAACCTCTTCAACCTTACAATAGCAGGAGCAACGGAATCAAGTGCAACAGCATTAGGTGATTTCACCACCCACACTTGACAAGTTTCAGAATCCTCAGGACATCACAGTCATGTCCAACCCATCGCAAGAGGAACAGTTTACTGGAAGGTGAGGGTAGTAGCAAAGTTACAGGGAATAAGTGACTTCTAGTTGGTTTACTCCACAATAAAATTGAGAGTTACAACATTTCTTCCTTGTAAGATTCAGTTAATTTCACACAAGCCACATCTACAAACCAAACTTCTTAGGTCTCAAGTAAGTTGAAGATCCCTGACGCAGCCCTGGCGTTGCTATTTGTTGTTGCTGCTTTGCCCTCTTCTCTCTTTCCTTCTCCTTGTTTCGTCTCTCATCTTCTGCTTGAGCCTTCCTCAAATTCTCCATCTCCTCCTCCATCGCAGTCTTCTCTTCCTTTTGCCTTTTCTTGTGCTCCAACATCGAGGTATCGGAATCCTTGACCGAAAAGAACATGGGACCCATCTCAGCCAACCACTGGGGCTCTACAGAGGTTGCACACTGCATGTACTCTTTTGTGGTCAACACCAGCTCGTGATACACAACATAATCTGGAGTGTACCCCAGGCCATAGAGGGCGCTGGTCGGGTGCAAGTGGCAAGGCATTCCTGACCTGCAGTTTACATACTCACCAACACCCTTCAACCTTGCTGCATTGTGAAAGTACGCAGAACAGATCGCCTTCCGGATCACATCCCAATCATGCCCACAGGTCGTCAATGGAATCTTCAAAGTCTTCAGAATATCCAGCAGCTGAGACCGAACTTCTCTGGCTTTGCGCAATCCTTTGACATGCAAGTAATGGTCGTTACACCAATCTCCCCGATACTGGTGCTCCTTCCATTGCAGAAAGACGTTGAGCAGAGTCAAATGGTCAGATTCTGGAACAAAGAATTTCTCCCGTGCAGCATCACTCTCCTCGGCCCTGTCCTTGGGCCGAAAGAACACAGAGGGGACCGAGAGCATTGACACAATAGTCAAAACCTCATTTAAGCATCCCAATTGCTCTCCCATCAAAAGCATCTTAGCTAGTGGAGGATCCAGGGGGAACTCGACCATTTTCCATCCAAGATCAGTCAGACCTCCAACGTTGCTCAGCGCGCCCAACACCCACAGCTGGTACATAGAGTTCAAAATATTATCTTGCGGAGGTGGGTCCATGAAATCGAAATCCAGCAAGTTCTCTATTTTGAGAGACTTCAGCAGAAGAACTACGTTACCGAGATTGGTCCTCTGAATCTCCGGCACTGGACTTGGCAACAACTCGTTCAGGTACGCATTCTCGGTGTACAGCCTGTAGCATGTGCCAGGGCCTGTTCTACCAGCACGTCCTGCACGCTGATTGGCAGCCGCTTGGCTGACAGGGAAAACTTGCAGAGCATCCATACCCATCCTTGGGTTGTAAACCTTCATTTTACCGTATCCTGTGTCGATAACATAAAAGATTCCATCCACAGTCAATGAAGTCTCAGCAATGTTGGTCGCCACAATGCATTTCCGAGCTCCATCTTCAGCTTTCTGAAATATCTTTGCTTGCAAATCAGCAGGAAGCTGAGAATATATTGGAAGGATCAAAAGCTTGGGAACATCCTTGGTGGACGCAGCCATCTGCTCCATGCGCTCTGCAAGGGAATAGCACGCTGCCTCAATTTCGTCTTGCCCAGTCATAAATATGAGGATGTCACCGGCAGGACTCTGGACGTGGATAGTCATAGCTTGCTTAACAGCCGCTGCTACATAGTCTTCACAAGGACTCTTGCTATATAAGGTCTTCACAGGGAAAGTTCGCCCAGGGATGTGGAATATTGGTACACTGGAAAATATTTGAAGATTGGACCAATTGCTCTATAAAATCAACAGACTATAATATTATATGATGTGCATAAGCACACTGAAAACATCTCATCTTACCTTCCAAAGAAATCCGAGAACTTCTGAGCATTTAAAGTTGCAGATGTCACTATGAGCTTGAAATCACGACGCTGTGCAACCACCTTCTTCAATATCCCAAACAGTACATCTGTGTTTAATGATCTCTCGTGTGCTTCATCCATGACAATGACCCTGTCACAATCACAGCTTCGTTAAATTAATATATCATAACAGAGAAGTTGCTCAGGAGAAGAACCTACACAGCAACTTAATAATTTCCATACCGGTACTTATCCAATTCAGCATCTTTCAATGTTTCACGCAGGAGTACTCCATCAGTCATATACTGCAAAACCAAGAAATGAATTTTTAACAGGTTTGTAGGCAGTCGTCACTGAAGGAAAATCCTAGGTATAAACATTGGACCTTGAAAATAGAGCTTGTCAAACAAATACTAGGAAACGTAAGAGAAGACCGTAGAACAAGGTTGTCAACCCGCGGGTTGACCCACGGGTCGACCCAATTTGATCCTGACCCGGTGAGAAAAACGGGCCGCACGCACCCGCCGGGCCGACCGCTATTAGGTACCGGGTTGGAGGTCAAATTGTGTCATTTTTTTCTTTAGTTTGCGAAATGCGCCTATTTTCCAATTTTTCTTTTCGCCTAACTCAATCTTTGGAATACTAAGTTGAACATATGAATATTTATGTTATATAAGTGTGTGAATTTTCACTATATGTTGGATCTAAGTACGATATGTTATTTTGGTGTAATATTATATGTTATAACTCATATGTTAGATAAGATGTGATATAATTTATGAGGATAAGTACAATATAATGACTCTTTCTATATTTCCAGGCCAAACCAGGCTAAAACGGTTGACCCATTAACCCTTGACCCACTAGCTCAACCGGGTCCGGGTCAACCCACGGGTTGACAACCTTGCCGTAGAATATATGAAATCAGCAGCACCAGCATCATCAAACCTTGATTATGGTGTTTTTTCCAGTCACGTCCTCAAACCGAATTGCATAACCAACTTTATCCCCCAATTCAGTCTCCATCTCTTCACTAACTCTCTTGGCAACACTCATGGCTGCCACACGACGGGGCTGGGTGCAACCCACAATTCCATTTGCTGTATAGCCATCTTCATGTAGATACTGCAAAGAAAAGGCATTAGTACACCAATGAGGATTGGAGAAGGAGATGTATTGCATATTACAATAATTTATGACATGAAGAGAACAAGGGATGGGTAAAAACCTGTGTCAGTTGAGTAGTCTTTCCCGACCCAGTTTCTCCAACTACAACTACTATCTGGTTTTCACGTATCACCTACAGAGCAGGGAATTTGACCATAGTAAGCACACTGCACAATATGGTATGAGTAACAATCCACCACAACTTTAGGTACCCAAAAATGACAAGGAACTGCATTCTAGAGTCCTGGCAACCCATCATCAGGCCAAATATGATGACATTTCTAAAGTACTCAGGTGGCAACTGAAACCCTTACCAACTGCATACCAAGACAAACTAACATACATAAACAGAGGGGAAAACAGACCTGCAACAGCTCATCCCGCACAGAGAATATAGGAAGGTATTGCCGCTGCTCTGCAAGACTTTTTGACTTTGCAAAATCACTCACAGCTTCACCGCCCTTCTTCATGTGTTGTGCAAATTTTGCATCTTCCTTGAAATTGACTTCACCTTCTTCATTCACTTCAGCAGTATCAGCATCAATCTGAAATATAGTAAATGGTTAAGCACAAGAACAATCTGGTGACGGCAATAGGAGAAATAAAAAAAATTGGCATACAAGTACTAACCTGCTCCGCTGTTTTCTCAACACCAAGAATATCACCAAGTTTTGAGCCAGCAAGTTCCCAAAACCGTTGGCGAGACTTGTTCTGACTCTGTTTATCACGAATCTCCCTGACTAGAGCAGATCCTTTGCGTGAAATGATGGCCATGTCGGATGTGGGATCTTTTAGAGGCATTACTGGTTCCGCTTGTTTAGTGAAAACGACTCTTCCATCCAAAAAAGGGGGTTTTGTATCTATTGCAGGTGGCAAAAGAAGTTATGATGGGCTTAATAAATAGAAATACAAAAGCTTGCAGCTCTTCTGCTTCCATGTGGCCAACCAAATTCTTACCATGCACAAGGAGAATAACCTTGCGTTCATCCTCATCATCAAATTCAGTCTGCACTTCAGTTCCCCTAACAGCACCAGATCTCAATAGTTGCCGGTCTTCCCACTGGGCATTATCAGCAGTAAGTTGAGATAACTTCTTACTTTGAGATAGTGTCATCTTGGAGCCATCTCTACGAACCTAAATAAGAGAACACACATGAAATATCTCCTCCGATGTTAGAAAAATCTCATACTGAGAACAAACTACTCAAACACAATGGAGATGGAGACAAATGGTGCCGGAAGACACCCTATCAGACAGATATAATTAGTTCTCATGCTTTAAAAATCACAATTTATCTTAACATACCAGCTTTTTAGCCAACTCTGCCTCTTTTTTCTGGATTGAAACTTCGTCTCCAAAGAAAAATGATGAGCTATTAGAATCAAACAATGTGTTACCTTCTTCTCTATCGTACCTGAGCAATACCGACACCAATTAATACAGAGATACTGGCTGAAAGTCCAACCAACTTCTTTATAAGAACCATCAAGCCTAAGTCAAAAGAATGCTGACGTAAATTAACAGAACATTAAAGACAGTCCAGTTGCAGGTATTTGCATACTTCGCACAAGTTGCGGATAGAGAGGAAGATTTTACCATGCTCGGTCAGAAGTATATTCCATTTCTAAACGCATGTCCTCAGTAATCTCAGGATTATGTTCTTCAGACACGAATGGCTTTTCTCCTTCCTGGAGATATTAACAGACATTATATTAGCTTAGATGATTTAGAATGCAGAACATGACTCATCCTGGAGTGATAAACCATTAAAGACCTATCGTACACTAAAATCAAATAGAAAAAATTGATCATAAGAGAAAGTATGCTGAAAAAAGAAAGGCTAGATAATAATTCTTGCCAGAGGAAATTATTCTGTGAGTAAGAATGCTGCTCGATTATAAAACCATCATCTTACCACAGTTAATACAGAAAGTATATCCCTAAAACAGAAAAAAGAAAGCTTAACTAAAGCAGCTTGCACATGTTCTACGCCTGTTCTTACCTTCAAGATACGACTATTTTAGAGGTTTCACTTAACTTTCGCATGTTAACTGTAACTATTCATATATGAACACTAATGTCAGCAGTATATTGGCGAACAAAATTACCTCTAATGGTTGGGAGCTTGAAACAGAGAAAGTATGCTGATGAGATCTCCCACCCCGTCTAGAAACAGAGGACCTATCTGACGACCCAGAAGCTCGTATTGGTATAGGAGAAGGAGAAACCCGATCCCAAGGGGAAGCACTGGAGCCTGAGTGTAGCACAGACAAAATGTCAACTAACACCTAGAATTACATGATACAAAAGCAAATGATCACCTGATCTTAACTCCCAACATACCAGCTGAAGGAGTATGGTCACCCAACCATGGTGAAACTAATCGTGCATCAGGTGATGCCCCAACAAACATTGGGGACCTTGAAGGCTGACACCGCTGACCTGAGTTAGAGGTATCATCACGAACAGGAGTTTCTTCCCATTCCCATCTTCCATCATCCCAATCATATCTCCCTGAAAATTAATCAAGGGGAAAGTTAGATTGACACAGTAGTCCACATGCTCACTTCAGCTAATAGGGTTAGGTAAAAATTGTTCTAACTACATAAAATGTGTAAAAGAAAAAAAAAAGCCAAACATTTCCTGGTTGCAATTGTGCTAAGAAAAAAGAAAATTCATCAAATAAGAAGTCAAAACAAACCTGGTGTTCGTGAGCGTTTTCTTCCATAACTTCCATCATAATCGTCTTCATACCGATGGCGTGATTCTCTTCCATGACTTCGGTCTTCGCGGTCACTGCTGTATCTGTGTCTGTCCCTTCGATTATCAATCCTATCATCATCTGTTCTGCCTCTTTGTTCAGTGATGTAATCATCTCCATGACGCCATGGACTCCTGGAGGGATCCCGTTGAGAAGTTCGAGGGGAGGTACTAGGTCTCTATAATTCCAGATGATGTAATGTTAGTTTTTGATGAAATGATGATTTGATGTTATTAACCACATATAAAGCACAAGAAAATAAAGGGAGGGTACATGCATAATTTGATTACAGTCCAATGTAAATATTTTAGAATATTATGTACCAAAAAAAAAATAGAATATCAACTTACATATGAAGATGAACCCCCCTTGGAGTGATGATTTCGAGACACATCACTAACTGATCTTTCTCGGGTCACAGTACTTTCTGTAATTGACGAGATCTCACATGAGATATGCAAAGCTTTGATTCGATGAATGTATATGGATACAAGAACAGAGAAACAGAAAAGATATTATTACGCATCACGTGGAGCATTCAAAATATGTACTTGTAAAACTCCAAATGAAATTCTATTTAAGAATAACACAAAGGTATAGAAAATTGACATCAACGCATCCCTATTGAAACTTTTAGGTAAAGCACTCTACACTATCCACACATCACACCCTTTGCAAAAATAGTGAACTGAGAACCTTGTTCAAAAAGTTCCATCCAAGAGGTTTATGTAGCTAGAAGTGGGTATTCCATTCTACTTCAACGGAAAAAAACAGTTCATCAATAGACAAACTAACCGGCACTTAACAATTATTCACCTTAAAGAAACTAGATACCGGCTAATGTAGTCAAATTCTATCAGTTGGTGCCTAACTCCAGGATTCAAACAAAATTAAGTTTTATCCAAACTCTTACTGATTCAATGTTTGGGGTCTAGATTTAAACAGAAAAGTACGCACCTGCATGAGTTGCCTCACCAGCACTAGCAGATGTTTCACGGTATCTTCGGCCACTCACATGCTTCAGCGCAGCATTACTATTTGCACCCACTGCTCCAGCCTCATCTATTTCAGAAGTGTCGTTCTCTTCATCCTCGTCAGCTGAGGCCACTGTGTTAGTTATTCTGTGCGCAGGGACCTTAAAACCTCCATCCACATCAGATTGGGCTCGTTTCGCAATTGCAAGGACATCCAGTCCTGGGAAAATTTTGGATATTAGCGCAACAAGAATCTAGAACTTGAAAAATTACATAAGCAGATTACAAGAGTTGAGTAATCACAAGAGATCAGATCAAGAAAGGATGTTTACCTAAAAGAGATTTCCTCTCGGGAGCTGTAAACTTCACCCTCTCCTTGCCAGGAACAAACAATCCTCCTTGACAGCTTTGTTCTGGTTTCAGTGTCACCATTGTCTCGTCAATGTTCACTATTTCACCTTGGTTCTCTTGTTTCTAAAAATGCAAGAATTGATCAAGCAAAAGAGGGTGGGTATCTTGGAGGATGAGACAGATACAATTGGAGCATACAAGAAAGCAAGAAGTTTGTATTACAGACCTCCATGGAAGCAACCCTCTTCAGCGAAACACCAGAGAGCTTCACCTTTACACAACCGCTGAAATCCAATACAACGAGCACAGCTGCAAAGGAGGGGAAGAAGGAAAGGTAGAGATCTTTAACTAGTTGTGTGAAAGATAAATAGGGTTTATGTTTCGCGCTCTTCCTTATTCCTTTCCCTCCTTTTAGGTGGCTGAAACTGAAACAGTGAAACTTCCTTCTCGTCTTTTGTCTTTTTCTTCTCTTATATCGATTCTGTGCTGACTTCCTGGGTGGAGGAATCAGAGAAGAGAATAACAACGATTTTATGGGCTCATCGTCGTCGGAGGCAATTCTATTCCGATCCTTCTCCCTCTCCCACCCTTTTCACCCTCGCCTTTCTTATTCTCGAGTCTCGACTGTTCGCCGATGTGATTTAGCTTTTATCAATTTAGTCCGTTGACAAATGGTTTTTATACAAAACCGAACGGGTTTGTTAACATTTATGAAGCCGTTTCTTTTTTTTTGGTAGAAAATGGGACGCTAGAAGGGCGCCCCTGCCTGGTACTTAGATTAAACGATCTTGGGTGATACCCATAGTGTCGTACAGGATCCAAAAATTGAGACCCGGATCCGAAATATCAAAACTGTGAGTGCCTCGACTGAAACCATGGGCCCTATTGGCCAAATAGTCGGCCGCTTTATTACATTCACGATACGAATGAGAGATATGGACCTCCCAATTACGTTGCAACAGCTCCTGGAATCTCCTGGTGAGGTTGTGGTAGCGCCTGCTTCCATGGTCCTTAGTATTTAAGAAGTCAATGGCTGCAGTAGAGTCAAGCCGGAGAAGGACTTTCCTGTGGCCTTGATCCCAAGCAACTTGGAGTCCTGTGAGGGCTCCAACGATCTCCGCCCTGGTTATGGAACAGCTACCGAGGTTGGCGACAAACGCACCTACACACCGGCCAAAGTGATCGCGAAGCAAACCGCCTGCTGCTGCCGCCGAATTGTGCTGCTGAACAGAGCCATCTGAATTAACAACTATCCAATCGGTGGGGGGTGGCTGCCAAGAGAGTTCCTGTCTGCTTTTAGTAGTCGCCGTCGGAGTGGAAAGTTTCTGGTTGTTATCCTGTGCTCGCTTTATTGTTGACGTCCAGGCAGTGATCCGGTGAGCAAGGACGCTGGCCTCCTGGAATTTGTGCTCGAAGACCATGGCATTCCTTCTTTTCCACAGGTACCAAGACGCCACGCCAAACAGCAGATTTGTTCCCTCGCGTTTCAAATTTGTCGCCAGCCAGCCTGCAAAGTTTAACCCATGCGTAAGTGAGGACTCAATTATACCGAGCGAATCCCATACCTGTCTTGCCATAGGGCAAGTACGAATGACATGCTCCGCCGTTTCTGGTCCTGATCTGCAGAGCTCGCACACATCGCTGTCGCAAAGCTTTCGCCGCTTCCTTTCACAGTTTGTCAAGAGGCGATTGTGCATGGACAGCCAAAGGAAATGCCGTATGCGGTTGGGTCCGGGCCATTTCCAAACATTCATCCACTTTGTTTGGTTGTTCACTCCAATTTCCTCTTCTGTGACCTCTTGTAACCAGTCCACCGCCGCTCTGTACGCGCTACCAAGCCGGAACTGCCCGTCGCTTTCCAGACTCCATATAGTAGTGTCCTCTCCTGCTTCATGGAAGGGCGTATCCGTACCTGCAAGAAGAGATAGTATATAATCAGGTAGGTGGTTATTCACAGCTTGCCATTTCCACTCACCTGATGAGTCAACCATCTCTGCTACGGTAAGGTTCCATTGAATAGAATGCCCATCACTAATCACATTGTCTTTCAAAGCCAGGCCTGCTGCCAACCACTGATCATCCCAGAAGCTGACGTTCCTCCCGTTCCTGATGTCCCAGATGGTATGCTGTTTCACAAGAGGCAGAGCCTCCCTAATTCCTTTCCAGAGTCTAGAGGTACGGTTCTGGCTGAGAGAAACACCACCACCACCATTCTGTTTAACATATTTTCCATGCAGCACCCTAACCCAAAGGTCTTCTTCATTATTCAGGAATTGCCAACCAAGCTTCATAAGGTAAGCGAGGTTCAGGGCTCTGGCCGAACGAAGACCGAGACCGCCCTCCTCCTTGGGCTTGCAGATAGTCTCCCAGGTAACGAGGTGGGTTTTTGCCTTGCCGTTCTCCCTACCCCAGACAAATCCCCTGATCTTCTTATCAATAATATCACAGACATGACAAGGTAAGACCGCGGTCTGCATAACGTAGTTCGGGAGTGCATTAAGGACGGAAGTAGCCAAGGTGACCCGCCCAGCAAGCGAAAGGCTCTTAGTTTTCCAATTCGCAAGTCTTCTGTCTATATTCTCCAGGATATACTTGTAAGTTTCTTTCGTGACGCGGCCGTGAATAACAGGCACACCCAAGTATTTACCAAGGTTGTTCGTACAAGGGATTCCCATTAATCCACTAAGCCTGTTCTTAGTGCTATCCTTCGTATTCCTCGAGAAATACACTCTAGACTTCTCTTTGCTGACTTTTTCTCCGGAAGCTGAGCAAAATTGGTCTAGGCAATCCATCACAGTCCTGGCTTGTCTAACATCTGCCTCTGCAAGGAGCACAAGGTCGTCTGCAAAAAACAGATGGGTTAACTGAGGACCATTCTTAGACAGGCAAATCGGTTTCCAATCCCCAATCTCCACACATTTTTTAATAGTATGATTTAGGCGCTCCATACATAAAGTAAAAAGATAGGGAGAGAGAGGACATCCCTGTCTAAGCCCGCGCGTGGGTTTGAACTCCTCAGTGCAGTTCCCATTCCAAAGGACCTGGAAACTAGCTGTCGTGACACAGGCCATCACTAAAGAAATGAAATCCTGAGGAAAACCAGCAGCTTCCAGAGTAGATTCTAGGAAGCTCCAGCTAATCCTGTCATACGCCTTCGCCAAGTCAACTTTCAGAACCATCAGTCCCTTCCTCCCCTTCCTCTGATTCATGGAATGAATGATCTCCTGAAGGATGATTACATTACTGGTAATGTGCCGTTTAGGCACGAAACTGGTTTGGTTCTCGTCAACAAGCTCCGGCATCAGCAGCTTGAGTCGATCAGCCAGGCACTTCGCTACGATCTTATAGCTGACATTGCATAACCCAATAGGTCTAAATTGAGTCATATTTCTCGGGCTGTCCACCTTGGGCAGCAGGGTGAGCAATGTCGAGTTACAGGAACTAATCTTCTCTGGATCCTGGAAACAGCTGTCAATAAGCACCCGGAGCTCGCACTGGATGGTGTTCCAGCATCGTTTGTAGAAGATCGCATGAAACCCATCTTTGCCAGGAGATTTCAGCCCCCCCATATTCTTAATGATACCACGGATTTCTTCCACAGACGGAGTAGAAGCCAGCCTGTTCATAAGGGAATCATCCACTGCCTTGAAGTCCGCACAAAGGTTCTGTGTTGTAGCAGTATCTGCAGTGAATAACTCGATGTAAAAGTCCCGGGCCATCTTCTGTAACGTCTCCTGATCTTCAACCCAAACACCATCCTCATTTTGCAACCTGATGATCTTATTTCTTCTTCTTCGGGCCAAGGTGGAGGAGTGGAAGAAAGGAGTGTTGCTGTCTCCGTTATTGATCCAATTATCTCTGGATTTCTGCAGCCAAAGTAGTTCTTCTTGCCAGAGGGTTTGCTCTAACTCTTCCCTAATCCGAGTTTCCTCTTGGATAGTTCTTGGGTTGGGATTACGATCGTTAATAAGCTCCCATTTGGCCAGCAGCTTCGACAGGGACCGCTTCCTCTTGAAGATGTTCCCGAAGACATCTCTGTTCCAAACTTGGAGGGCTTCTTGCAGTTCGAGCAGGGAGAGATTAAAATTCCCGCTGCTTTTCCAGGCTGCTTCAATGGTTTCTTGGAACGTTTCGTGGGAGAGCCAGGCCGCCAAGAAACGGAAAGGTCTTTCCTTTTTGGGGGTCGGAATATCAACTGAGCTCCGGATGAGGATTGGCCTGTGATCTGACCGAATCCGGGGCAGGTGCGTATTCACAGTGTCTGGGAAGCAGTCAATCCAGTCCTTATTGCAGAGGGCGCGATCAAGGCGTTGCGAGAGTCTGCCGTTAGTCCACGTAAACCGCGGACCAGTGTAGCCCACGTCAATCAAGCTGCAGTCGTTGATGCAAGCATTGAAGTGGGTCGTTCTCTGAGCATTGAACCCCGCTCCTCCCTGCCGGTCAGAAGGATTGCAGATCGAATTGAAGTCCCCGACAAGAAGCCAAGGATTCTTCATATTCTGCTCGATACGGCGGAGGGAATCCCAAAGCGGAAGCCGGTCATGGTCGTTCGGCTTCGCGTAAATCGCCGTCATTTCCACTGTGCGATTCTCCTGCAAGTTTACACAACGAAAGTGAATGAACTGAGGGTCCCTCTCTACATCAGTAACCATCAAATCCGCAGCCTTCCAGAGGACCCAAATCCCCCCAGAGAAGCCAACAGCATCAACTTTCTCAAAACGATCAAACCCCATATGAAGCCGTTTCTTTAAAAAAAAAGGTATTGTTATTCGTTGTCCTAAAATTTATTATTTGTCGCTCTAATTTCATTAAAATGACTTAAATACTCATAATTTAGTCTTTGTTTTTAAAATATAGAAATACTAAAATAAGTACATACAAAAGATGTACGATTTAGGAAAATCCGTCGCCGGAGAGCTCGAGTCAGGTCAACCTCCTGCATCTGGAACGAAAGAGGCTTCTCCTCTTCGTAAACCTTACATCCACTTTGGCCTTCCATCACTGAAACAACCAATTAATCACTCCAACATACCAACAAACTCCAATGCATCTCTGGCCCCAACTGGGATGAGGAATTCTTGTCACCCACAACTCTGAAGTAATCAGGCAACTCAGGAACTATGCTTTTCATGTAATCATCAGGAAAACCCAGATCCCATTTTATGCAATCAAGTACATTCAATGGAATTTTATCAATACGCGCAAGCATTACCAGCTTCACAAGTCTATCGGTAACATTCTGCTTGTAACTTTCGATCTGGTAAACTAAGTGTCGAGATCGAATACCTGTTGGGTGAGCTTGATGTGGGGGTGAATCCCCATGCCGCCAGAGAGGAATTCCTTGGACACCGAAGGGTATTGGCGGATGAACTCGATTGGGCGAGTAGGTATCTGGAGGGAATCCTTGTGTTGGGGACCGGAAGCGGCAGAGAATTCGCCGACTCCAATTAAAAAAAATAGCAGTAGCGGATCGACGAGCGGCTAGGGAACGACAATGACGAACCAAGCTGAAGGATTCGACTTCCTTCTCCAATGCAGACCAGTGCTCAAACCTTATACCTCCTACTTCATCTTTCTCCTTCCTCAACAACAGCAGCGAGTCGTCAGATTGGGGGAATCGAAGCAGGTGAGACCTTCTTCCTCCTTCCTCAGCAACAGCAGCTGGTCGGTGAATTAGGGATTGCAGTGGGTCAGCGTGCTAGGGGAATGGCCATGGCGGCCGAATCCGGCCAGTGGGATTCTTTCTTTTTCTCAGCGATGATAGCAGGTTGGCGGAGTAGGGAATGTGAACGGCGGCAGGGCTTGACGGAAACCCAGTATAGGGGTATAAACGTCAACTTAATATGATTTAGGGCGAAATAATTTAAAGTTTAGGGCGACGAATAGCGATTCAGTAATAGGCAAAATACGCTTGTATAGCCAAAACTTTCGTGTTTGTGCCAATAATAGCCAAATTTAGAGAAATACCACTTATAGCCAGATTTTCTGGTTGTTGTATGACAAATCTAGCCATTTTCGTTACAAACTTTAACGATGTTAAATATTCCGCCAGTTAGGTTAACAATGTGCTGACTAGGACACCAAATCATCGTACACGTCAGCAACATGACAAAAGGTCAACTGCCACATAATTATTTATTATTTAAAAACAAAATAAAAACCCAAAAATAATAATCTATTATTCTTATTCCCTTTTCTTCATTGGAGCCTAACCCCAACCTTTTCCCGGCCGCCGCCCACCCTTGCATCTCCTTCCTCCCATCTGCCTCTTGTGCTCATTCTTCCTCTTTCGTAATTGGGCCACAGACACCACTCTTTTCTCTGTGCACCAACAATCTATGACAATCACAACTATCCTTTTCCCCTGCGTAGAGCATCAGATGCCCCTTTGGCATCGATTCTGGTTTTCCCACACAGCGGCTCCTACTCCACCTGCAAGTAGCCGGATTTTTCGAAATAGAGAAATTTGGCTCCGACGGTCAATCGGAGACCCAAGTGGTGAGCTTCGTACTTGGCTTCGTGCGCCACCCTTGCAGGCCTCACCGCTGCTCGTCAATCCTCTGCTCCAGCAACCCGAATCAGGAGGCTGGGATTAAAAAAACGTGTGACACTAATCCCACCAGTGACCCGAGGAGAAGCACCCGCGCCAGAATGTTCCTCAGATAGCTGGGCTTCCCGGCACCGAGCTCTATGAATGCGAGAAGGATTCGAGTGATTTTGTAGAGAGGGGGAAGGGGGAGGAAATCGAAAACCTATAATTGCTACCAAGAGCAAAAAACCAGCGGTTGTGTGGTTAGCTCCGATGTGGGTATTTATGTGGGAGACGGGTTGAGATTGGGAAATAAACGAGAAGGATAGAAGTGGATAGCATGATTTTAATGGGGGAAGAGTTTCGATTCAAGCGAGAAGGACGTTTGATGGTGAGAGACAGAGAGCGAGATAGAGTGCGATTTAGGGGTTGAAGAAAACGGATCCAATCTCTGCGTGAAGGGATTCAATCTCCGGTTAGGAGTTTTAGAGGCAAACAGAATAGGCGCTCCGGGGGGATATCTGCTCGTTCCAATGCCCACTCCTCCATCGTTGCTTGATCCGGGCAGTGCCCCAAGGGTCCAGACTCGTCGCTGCCGTCGTCGTCGAAGCATCTCTGTCTTGAGAAGGCATATCTGTTCACCAGATGCTTGGACTTGACGAACGCATCAGAGCAATGGTTGGCGACAAGAAGGAGATTCCAACAAGAATATTGATTGGCGGATTTGGCTTTTTTATAGAATGGATCTGGGCGTTTTTGAAAGAGAAAGAAGACGATAAAGATGAGAGGAGAAGAAAGGATTTTGTTTGTGGGTTGTCATCGTTCTAGGAAGAAGAAAAGAATCTTTTTCTTGTTGTTCGATGATGGAGATGAAGAATCAGAGAAAGCAAGAGCGACCGTGATTTCCAAGATGGGAAGGTGAAGAGGTTGAGGAAGACGACGAGGATTATTGTTTTTTAATGAATTAATTGCTTTTTTGTAATTTTCATTTAATTTAATTAAAATTACAGAATAAAACTTTGATGATTTTCAACCTGTCATTATTTCCCAATAAAATATGCCACATCAATCGTTGTTGTTAGTCCAGTCACTATATTAGATAACACCGTTAAAGTATTGGACGGAAGTGGCTATAAGTGGTATTTCTCCAAATCTGACTATTATTGGCACAAACATGAAAGTTTTGGCTATAAAATGTATTTTACCTAAAAAATTATGACATAATTTTTTCAAATAACATATTCTAATTAGCTTTACTAGGGCTGGGAATCTTGTCACGATTTTCCGGTAAAACCGGAAACCGATAAGTGTAAATCATCCCGGTTGCATCCGGTTTTTGCAACCGAAAACCAGATGCAACCCGGTCTGGTTCGGATTACACTTGCCAACATATTGAGAAAAATCATACCAAGTATAACCCGGTTAAAACCGCAAAAAACCGAAAATCGGACCATGTCCTATCCTGAAGCCCAAAGTCAAGCCAAGCCCAGCCCAGCCAAAACATACCCACTCACGCAAAGCCCAACCCGACCCCAACTCACCCACTCAAAGCCCAAAGCCCATCCAGACTTGCAAAACCTTAAACGCCAACTCTCAAACACTCCTCCAACTTCTCTCAAACTTGTCAACCGCCGCATCTCTGTCCCTGATAAGCACGTCGAAATCCTCTTCTTCTTCGTTCTCTCGTCGACGTCCAACAGCTCTCCCTCCGGCTTTGACGACATCTCACCCTAGCCAGCGAGTCGAGTCTCTTTCTTCTCGAACTCCACCGAGGCGCCGACACTGCTCCTGAGGATGACATGCACGACTGTCGCCCTGCTGACATCGCCGCCAAGAACCTTTCCCCTGCTGACATCGCCGCCAAGATCCCAGTTGACATCGTAGCCAAGATCCCAACTTTGTTTGTCAAATCGCGGTAAAGAGGACAACGACGGAGGCGATGATGTGCGTGCGTCGACAGCTGGATTGGGTTTTGATAGCGAAGAGAAGGAGAAGAAGAATCAGGAAGGTAGAGGGAGTAGAAGAATCAAAGGAGGGAAGAAGTGGATCTTCTGGAGATTGGAGAGGGAAGTGGGGGGATTAGGGATTGGCCAATTGTGCGGGTGGGACTTTGGGAAAGAAATATTTTTTCAATTTATTTTGGTCCAAACATAGCGTTTTTCAAAGGAAACAGTCTGCATCCAGTTTTCGGTTGTGGTATTGGTATTGGTCAAAACGATTTTAAAAAACCAGGTTAATCCAGTCCAATTTTAACCGGATCGAACTGTTTCCCACTCCACCATCATTGAGGGGTAGCCGGAGTTTTTGCAATCGAATTCGCCGCATCTCACCCCTAGCAAACGATCACCCACTGTTGTTCGTCGCTTCTCACCGTCGTGTGCTAATCGCCTTGTCCGTTGAAGTCTGCTGAACCGCTGCCGAGGGGCGAGGACAAATTGGGTGCTGCCGGAGTTGATGGTCGTCGGATTTGTTGCGTCTCACCTACTATTGTGCTTCGCTTCTCATGGTTGGGTGCTCACCGTCTCACCTACTGAAGCCTACACCAGCCGCAGTCGAGGACAAGCTGGGTGCAGCGGGAGTTGAAGGAACATGTATCGCACGTGCACAATATGAGAAAATACCACACGAATTGTCTAGTCTAGCAGGTATTCAAGAACCAGTGCGTGATATTTTAATGAATTTGAAAGAAATTGTATTGAGAAGAAATTTGTATGTAGGGATGGCAATCAAACCCATGCCCACGGGTATCCGACCGCCCCCGACCCAGTCAACGCAGGGAATTCCCGCTTTGACTGGGTATGGGGCGGGTATGGGTAAAACCCGCAAAATGTTTGATGGGTATGGGGCGGGTATGGTTTTAGCCTCCCCCGCCCCATACCCATACCCATACCCGCCCCACCAAGAATATTTGTTCACATATAAAAAATACATGGATGAAATAGTAATCTATCAATGATAGAGAGGGTAAATAAAAAAATAATTAGTAGAAATGCAATTGAGTGGTCACCCAAATTAAAACCTAATTCATTTTCCTCAACTCTCTCTTCACTCTTTCACTTTTCCCTCGTGTTAGCATTTAGCAAGATTATATTAGTTAATTATTGCTTAGTATATGTATTAGAGTCAGATAAATAATGATTTGGATTACATTGTAGTACTCTATTTTATGGATTAAGGGAAATTTTAGGATAAAATGCTTTGAACCATATTAAGAATTATTGTCACTTTCTCAACTTCATGATATAATAGGTGCCTTTAATGTTATAATTGAAAATTTACATGTAAAATTTTATGTATTATAATGTTGGATGTACGGGGCGGGTATTACCCATGGGTACCCGAAACCCACGGGTATGGGGATGGGTTTGCAAAATCTTCCCCCGCATGGGTATGGGGCGGGTATGGGTTTGGATATTTGATAGCGGAGATGGGGATGGTTTAAGCAAACCCGCCCCATTGTCATCCCTATTTGTATGGACCTCGTGACGCATCCATTTGTGTTAAGGGAGTTGATGGGCACCAGATTCTTTAAGTAGTAGTGATTCAAGGGCTGAGGCTCAGTGGCTTAAGGAAGGGCTCATTTAAGTGAATTTTGTTGGCTTTTCGACTGAGAGCCAAGCGAGCCGAGTGAACTAGTATCCAGCCGAGAAAAACAAGTATCTGAAATGCAAATACTAGTATCCGCCTGTGTTGAGAAATCCTCCCTTTTTTCTTTATTTTGAAAATTTTGCTCTCCCTTCTCTCTTATGAATTTAGATATGATTTGGTCTTGCTTGTCTTTGGATCATTAGAGCTTGGGGTACCTCTAATGGAGATATGATGTTGCGGGTTTTGTTCCTTCTGGTGGGTTTTTTTCTCTCTAAGGATTGTTCTATTTTTTATTTTTTGGGGTTTTTTTTTTTGTAGATCGTTGTTATTTAATGCCATGGATACCAATTTGTAAATGTACACTTTTTCTTTGGTTTCTTTTTCTGGATTTTTTGGTAGATTGTCGTTATTTAATGCCATGGATACCAATTCGGAAATGTATATGGACATATATCAAAATACTACTAAGTGTACTAATCGATATGAGTTAGCAGTTCATAATTGAGTGGGTGGATACCAATTATGTGATGTATGAATACTCTATTGAGTTGTCTAGATATTAGTTTGTGAATGTGGAATATTAGTTGATTTCATGGTGGATATTACTTAGCAAACCATGAATACTAGTTGGTTTGATTGTGGATATAGTTGGTGTTGTTTGAATATTATTTGTGCTCTCTGGATACTAGTTTTCGCCCTCGTGTATACTTGAATGCTACTAGGGGCGGACCCAGGGGTCTTTAGGGGTGTCCGGGACACCCCTAAATTTT